TGACAAGAACACAAGAACAAAAGACTCAGACTGTATTACCAAAAACATTCAGTCAAAGTATGCAGACTTAAAAAGAATCAAAAGATTAAAAATAGTATTACGCAATTTTACAATCTTGTTTAGAATGCATTTTTCAATTTTTCAAACAAACAAACAAGCAAGCGCACCTTTGATGGCCTCTGCTGTCTGCACCAGTTCTGCCACGGCCGTCGCCACCCGTTTGGAGAAATGGGCCAGCTTCTGTTTCCCCTCGTGGGTCGGCTTCTGCAGGATCTGTGGAAGCCAAGAATCAATCAATCAATCAATCAGTAATAGTTGATTGATAATCTATAAATCTGTAGGTAAATCAAAAAGATAATTCTGGCCTGGAATATCAACATGAAAACAGAGTCTGAGGGGAAGTCTGTACCTTAGTCCAAACAGCTTCAGGGAGTAGATGTACTTTTGTCTAGTTGTGTAGTAAGGTTCATGTTTTCCTACCAGCCCTCTGTTTTGCATCTTTCCCTCTAGCTAAATCTTTACTTCAAAATGTCTAAGAATTAAGGACATGACTAGAGGTTTCCTCCCAACCCCCTGTTCTTAGATTCCTTTACATCTATCTATTAGACTACATCTTTACCTGAAAATGCCAATGAACAGTGGATGAACAGAGTAAGATTTGCAGACGTACCGACAGTACATGTACCAGTAGTTCCACATACATGGCGACCGTGTTCCTGCCCACCTCCATCGCTCTCTCTGTTGTCTCACGTGACTCTGCTCCAAATGCTGAGGCCTGGGGAGGGGAGGAGGGTGTTAGTCAACATCAGGAATTTTATAAAAGAACAACTGTATGAGATACAGCAATGGAATAAAACTCTAACATGTTCTATCAGAAAACAAACTTTAATCAACACCTAATTTATGATAAAAGCCATTATCATCAAACGATGTTGGTGTGGATTTATCCTTTGGCAAAAAGGGTGCACATGAGATGGACTTATAACATTGGTTTATTTCGAACAGCACACTACTTTAGTATGACAGCACAATAATACTGTAAATACACAACACTATCACTTCACAGCCATTAAGGCTGAATTGTGTGGTTAAAAGCGTTAGCAATATAAGTAGCTAAAATCTTGAATGTCTCCCTGTATCATAAAAGTAGTAAATTACATGTAGCATTTAAATCATTTAAGATTTAGGGCTGACAAACTATACATGACCATTTAACAAAAGGGTACCTTGCACGTGATGATGAGATGGACTTAACCATTAGATAAAAGGGGTGTACGGGTACCTTGCATGTGACAATGAGATGGACCCAACCATTTGACAAAAGAGGGTGGCAAGGAGAACCTTGCAGTTACTGTAAACCAATGATTAGCCAGGAGTGTTATTGTAATGTTACAACCCAGGCTATTGTTTACATTAGCACATAATAGAAAAAAAAAGAAAAAACAAGTTTACCTTGCACGTGACGATGAGATCTCCCACCGACTTCCGTGACATGTTGGCGACCGCAATGATGTCGTCCTGGCGACAGCTGGTTCCCGCGGCAACGGCCTTGGCGGTGAGCAGGGTGACGGGCTTGGTGCTGCGGATCAGGTCCTCAGGGGGGAGACGCTTCTCAGGGGGGTCCATGGAGCTCAGGATCTGGGGGGGGGGTAAAAGAGGCTGAAAAACTTTTGCAAAAACACTTTTGCAACCAGGATTGATGGATGGAAAATCACTGTCAGCTTGCTTTTTTTCTTCATTAAGATCTACAGTTTTTAGCTTCATCTTTTTAATCAGCAAGGGGGCATAAGTACTTCTTCTTCTTCTTCTTATCCAAGTTTTACGTCTGAAGTACAGACATTTAAAACTGGGCAACTTTCTAATGCCATCAGTCTGAAGTTTACTAACTACTAACATTGAAAGTACAGTATATATATAACAAACAGCCAATATAGAGGTTACAGTCATAACTAAATATTTTGTTTAGCAAGGGAGGCTAGTGGCTACAAATGACAGCCTCGAACACTTTTCTTACTAACACTTTCTTTGAACTTCAAAACAATGAAAAGAACATGACTGCAGTACCCTCATCTCCTGCTTGATGGCCTTGATAATCTGATCTGAACATGCACTTACAAGAGAGGAAGGGATGAAGGAAGGAATGAAGCATTAATGACAGTCTTAGAAAACAGAACCGCTGCAGTACCCTCATCTCCTGCTTGATGGCCTCGATGGTAGCCTCCAGTGCCCGGGTGCCCCTCGCCGCCTCATCTTCAACTGTCTTCACTGTCTTCAGCAGGGAGGTCACGTTGGTCACCATCACCTGGGGCAAAGGGCAAGGGTCAGGTCAGAGGTTAGGTCAACAGTCAAGGGTTAGGTCTAAGGTTAGGTCAAATGTCAATTCATGAACACACTACAAGCCAATGATAATGCCATCACAAGCATATCAAAAGGCAGTACATTGCACTATACACAGGACAAGCATATGGCAAAACATACAAGGTTTATAAAATGTGCATTTTAGTATTTTAAAGTTGTCAACATGTTTGCAAGACTTTTGTATGACAAAAAATGACACTATTTCTCTTCTGTTGCAAGAACATTAAAATGATGCGCTGTGCTGTTTGAAAGTAACTAACAAGACAAAGCACCATTCTGATAGTATTACACACACAGTACTGAAAATCTAAAATTTATGTACTGACAATGTGCAACTTTTACGTAACAACATTCTCATATCAGAATGCAATCTATCAACCAAAACAACATCCCAACTTCAGTCACATCAATCTGATTAAGCAGTTGCACAGTTCAGTTAGTAGAGTGGGTGATGGGTGATGCCAAAACAACAATCACTACAACAAATGACACATGTACCTTATATGGAAGCAGACAGGTGGCTGTGGTATTTTGTTTAGTCTCTCCAAAAAGGAAAGAAACTTCAGCTCATAGCTTTATCTGTTGTTTTTTTCAGGTGAAATGTAATGCTTAAAAAAATATACATATGTGTGTGTGTATGTGGCTGAGACTTTAAGTTGGTTGGCAACTGCAAAATATTTATACAGTTAGTATAAAACATGGAAGGAGGCAGGTTTTTCAATGATAATGAAACATCTCCTTTCATATAGAAATGATAGAAAACATACATTTTCTATAGCTAGCATGGTGACCTCAAAATTTGATGAAAAAAAAAAGACTTTCCACATTCAAATTTTCCAGTATTGGACTTTTTCTCTGAACATAATAAAAGTAATGTCACATGCCCTTTAGTTGGGAAAAAATAATCACCCAAAAAAAGGCACGAAGCAACAACTTTTCTTAGTTATATTTTTGTTCCAAAGATACAAATAGTCTACAATTTCATTGTATAAACAACCATCCAACGACTTAGCTACAGATTAAGTACATTATATGTATAATATTATAGACCACAACCATGCATGTATGATATGATAGCAAAGGTATTAAACAAAACATTGTATGCAACATAGTGGAAGACTGAAAGCCTTACTGATGAAATTTTCACAATGATTTAGTTAACAATGATACAAGATGCATTTATATATTGAAGACAATTTTTTGTGACCATTGTTAGGGTCATGTATTTATGTATTATGTAGTTTCACTCAATTAGCTGCTTCAAAGTCTTTCTAGATGTGATATTCCTTCTATGCCTCTTTCCAAAATGTCATTGTTAGTAATAATCAAAGCCTATACTGTTCTTTCTACATGAAAACTTTTGCTATTTGCTAAGTTCCTTCCCAGCAGAAGACTATAGCAAACTTAACAGTTGTCTATGATCTGCTGTGCAGCTATCTTACAAGCATCACTTGCTTTTTCAAAATTGCTGTGGCTGAGAATCAGAAAGCTACATTTAAATATCACTCTCCTGCCATAGAACTCAACTATCTGAATACAGTTAAAGATAATATATCTTGAAGTTCTTCCTTCATACAATCACTATTGTTGCAGTTAGCTGCAGCAAATCAACTCTTCTCCATAAACTTGAATAAATAAATAACACTGGTCATCTCAATTTAGGAAAGTCACTGGCCATTTGGAATGTCAAGTAAAAATTAACATTTTGCATTCAAGTTTCACATCAGTGCGCAGGTCTTGGTGTAAGGAGTATAGTGATATGAAAATTATTGTTCTGCAGTATTCATAACTTTAGATATCATTTATAGAAAATGCAAGCAGACCGGCGGGTTTTTCAGCACCCCGATGGGGCTAACAGCTACCCCGTCAGGACCAAATGACAGGACCGTCGGTGTAAAGTACTCACCCCGTCGGTGTAAAGTACTCACCCCGTCGGGGTGACACTGTCATAATCACTAAACCCGACGGGGTAATGTCACCCCGTCGGTGTGACAGTTCTGGTCAAAGAAGTGCAAAATCCCAAAACAAAGCGCATGGAAGGCGTGAATTGATCAGTCTATACACACCGTCGGGGCCAAGTTTACCCCGATCAGGGTGAGGTCCAGCCCCGCCAGGGTGAGCTCAGACAGTCATCCAATCCAATTGATGTGCAAAAGCGACATTATCAGGACAAAGAATAAGCATGGAGAGCACAATCCACACTCTTCTATTTGCCCCTTTCAGCCAACTAAGGGTCACAAAAAAGAAAGATTCCAGAGAGCTTACAAACACATACTCACTACTCCAAAGCTGATGTCTAATAGAATTTTACCATGATCAATATTGACTGAAGGAGGCCATATAAAATGATACTTAAATTTATTTCCTTCAGTCTATTTGTAAGAATTGAGATGTAGAACACACACTGGTCTTGCAAATAAATTGATCAAGTTCCTCAATTGCTATTACACTGGCCACAATATTCAGGGATCGAAATTAACGGCTAATAGCAGCTGAAAACAGTCAGTCGTTCTTGTGTATATTGCCCACAAATTTTCATATGGTCATAATGGTGTCATTTAATGAGCAAAATGCCTTAGCTGGTCAAGAATGGGAGCAGTCTCTAATAATTGTCACAAAAAAGGGAGGTTGAAATTTACCTCCTTTGTCTGAGTGAAAGGAGGCCCTTTGTTATAATGTCTGTCATTCAAAATACACACTGCAAGCAGTGCAAATCAGGACTCACTATAATTCTTCTCAGATATTTAGAGGCATCATGATAAGAAATATGTTGTGAAACTAGGAAGTTGGAACATACATTTTGAACCCTCAAGGTACCACCAGGTGCAGAGTATTTTTGTGAGGATGTCATGAATGGTCTAACCAAGGAGCTTTATAAAGCTTGGTGTGACAATAACTTGTTGAGAAACTTGACATTGTGTGTATTTTGTCCCATTGTTCTGCCTTGGTAGACAAGTTAATTGGCTGCATTGTTTACTTATTGAGACTTTTTACAGCAAAAGGAGCTTTCATCAACGTTAATGAATGCAGCCACTTTGTAGGTAGACACACAAGCGGCCTACAAAATAGTCTACTGATCATGAGTACATCCTACAATCATATTTCATGGCCTGTTGGAGAAATACTTGAATGATGTGTTTTTGTTTACTGTACTACTACTAAACAGTCAAAATGTACTTCAGAAGGGGAGAAATGGCACTTTGGGTGGGTGGGAACATTTTTTAGCATGGTCTGTTCCATTTGCTGTAGCATGGTAGAAAGACAAGGCTGTAACTATTGGCCTAAGAAGAGACCATCGGCTACCCAATAATGGTCACCCCATTGGGCTTGAATGTTTACAGCCTTGTCACAGTAGGATCTGCTTGGAGATTATAGGTTGGTGGGTGTGATGTTTAAAAAAAAGTGATTTTGCCCTTCTCCGATAACTTTCTTTTCTACAGACCCTGGAGTATTTTCTACATTTAATTTACAACCACAGCAATGATTATACAAATGTACTTATTTCTATGCAAGAAGGTATAAAATGAAATTTAGGAGGAAGGACACAATTGCTGTCCTTTCAAAGAGTTTGCCTCAGGTGTGCAGTTCCAACTTCACGTTGAGGTGCCAATTACCCCCAATTTACATAATGTGCACTGGCTTGGGTTGGCTCAGGCCTGAGACCTTTGTTTTTGTTCAGAGAACTGTGGTGACTGGAAATGAAGTACTAACTCCAAGCAGATCCTAAGGTGGCAAAAAGACAGTATGAAATTGGCCAGGATCCATCGGACAGAGAGGGTCCAATTTTCCTTGGGTTGGAGCAAGGAGAACCTCCTTGGTTGGAGATAAGAAATGAAGGACAGTATCCTGACCAAGAAGGTTTATTGCAAGTCAGATATCCAGCTGTTATTAGATTGTGCCCGGTCAGTTTCAACCTGTCAACTCACCCAGAAAACAACTTTTGAGTGGGTTGATTTTGATTTTAGCAAATTTTCAAGGAAGAAGAAGGAATTTCAGTGGCAAAGCAATCAGAATCCCATAGACTTTTGAGACAGTAGGGACAGAGGGTTCAAAAAGTGGGGGGAAAATGTTAGCTTATTAAGTCACTATATTGGCCCACTACATGCTCAACAGTTGTGCTGGGTAGATAGACCTCTCTGATGTGCCTGGTAAATGCAGCTACTTGTACATACCAGGATGCATTATTAAGAAGTATCCAATGCATGAAATTTATATACAACTAATACTGGTTTCCAAAACGTGGCTCATGCTAATAATTCAGTCATTAAAATCTTTAAAAAGTGGCTAGAATATTCCTTAGAATCTAGCCAACATGGTTAAAAAAAGTCGCTATTGTAAGCACTATTCACATGACATTAAATCAAGTCATTTGTTTATATTCAGACTCTTTGTTTTGGTCCGTCCATGTTGGGGCAATTCTTGTGTTGGCGGGCCATATTTTTGACTGTGAAGTTGAAATATGAAATATTGGAAAAGTTGTTCCAGATTATTTCCAGTTTTGGCAACAAAATACTAGACTAAGTATATATAAATATGAGCCTAAAGATAAAGTAGATAAGCAAGAAGCCTAATACTAGTATTCACAACTTGAGCCTGCTTTCAAAGCAAGGAATTATACAATCCTCTATTTCTGTCCAACAGTACCCCTTCGGTAATTATTCAGCTCCAGGTACAATTGTTATGCTGGTTAAAACTAGGTCAGCTATTGTTCTTGACATGCAAATGTCACTGTCCAATTATCAACTTGATACAAATTATCCTATAAGGTAGTATCTCGGCAGCTTGTACTGGGTCACCCAGGAAAGTCAGAAAGATAGCCGGCATGTGAAAACTAAAGAAAATTGTAATTGTTAAAGACATACCAACACATTGACTATTTGGCCCTTCATCCAGTCAGATTTTCTGCTATCTGGCACCTAACATTGCACTTGGCCATGGGTTTATACTATATTAGATACAT